AGGATGGTCTCGATCTCCTGACCTCGTGATCCGCCCGTCTCGGCCTCCCAAAGTGCTGGGATTACAGGCTTGAGCCACCGCGCCCGGCCTGAGATCAGTTTTAAAACCAAGTCTTTCTAACAGGGATTCTATCTAATCCTAAAGCGCATAGTCCCTATACTGGCCTGCTTCCAACCATCATGCAACTTACTAGATAACAGCAGAAAAACACTGGTTACAGCTGCAGTCTTAAAACACTGACTGCTATTGCTGTTTCTCCTCCACTAGTTAGTTCCTCAGTCCCACACTCACGAATAAGACCCTGCCAATCATGTCAGTAAAAGCAAATTCTGTAAGCTTAAGTTCACCAATTTACTAACATTATAATCCTTATTTCTTCCAATGCCTCCTACAGCTCCTGACCCTTTCTGATGAAACAAGTAAGTATAAACACCACATTTCCCAAGCATCATTTAATAGTATATCTGCTATGTTTAGGTGAAGGTGGAAGGGTAATGTGCTAGCCCCACAATTACTATCACACCTCATCGTATTTTTAAGACATTTATACATTAACAGGGTTAGACACCCAGAAGGACAATGATGGACAGCCCACCCAACAATATTTTTCTGTTCATTCGTGTCCAGCTAACATACACATACTTTTTGTTACCAAGGGTTAAAATAAAACATTTGATAACTTTTAAGGTCCACAAATTATATGGAAGACAGGAATAATAATTTCTTAGCTGTTGCTCCCCAGAAGCTGCTTTTAAAAAATTTTTTTATAAAGGAGAGCAGTAACATGCAGTAAGATCTCCAGTACTTAAAATTTTTATTTGTGCTATTTATATTGGTGACAGACCACAAGAGGGCATAAACCTATGAGTTTCTAAGGCAAGTTAAATACAACGCCACATTAAAACTAGACTGGAACAGAAAGCCTAAAAGGTCAAGAGTACTTTTTCATCTTTGATACTTTCCTTAAAAATGCTTCACCTCTGAAACTTTTCTCACAATACTGCAATTTGAAATTCTTCCTGTATGGGTTAATGTATAATATAACAGTTTGGGAATTGTGCTAATCAGAGCTGTCTAAATTTATATAGTTTGCTTCTCTTGCTAGACTGTGACTTCAAGACAGATCTTACTATTTTGGTTTTAAAGCTGCTGAGTCAAAAAGAAAATAGTATCAGCGGGAGCTGAAGCCAATAGATACTTGACATACATGTTAGTGACAGTTACTTAAAAGCTGAAAATAATTTCTTAAAAGATAGATTTGTCAAGTAGATATATAAACATCATTACCAAAGTATACAAAAAGTGTACTTTCAACGAAACTTATAAAAATTACAAATCTTTTAAGTAAACCCCTTTGCAAAGAAGGGAGGAATTGACTACAGGTTCCTAACAGGAAAAAAGCAATAAGCACTGGGATAAACCGCAATAAATTGAGTGTTACTGTATAAAAACCACCATAGGCCGGGCAGAGTGGCTCATGCCTGTTATCCCAGCACTTTGAAGCCAAGGCCGGTAGATCACATGATGCCAGGTGTTCAGACCAGCCTGGCCAACATGGTGAAATCCTGTCTCTACTAAAAATACAAAAATTAGCCAGGGCGTGGTGGTGCATGCTTGTAATCCCAGCTACTCCGGTAGCTTGAATTGCCTGAACCAGGGAGGTAGAGGTTGCAGTGAGCCGAGATCACACCACTGCACTCCAGCCTAGGAGACAGAGGGAGACCCTGTCCCAAAAAATAAATAAATAAATAAACAAACCACCATAAAAGTAAAGAAAACCATTTCAATTTTAAACAAATTATGTTCTAAACATGCTGAAAAGCAAAACTCTAATGAAAGGTAAGTCCAATTATATGGAGCCACTTCTGAAAACACTTACATGTTCTTATTTAATTTTTTTTTTTTTTTTTGAGACGGAGTCTCGCTCTGTCACCCAGGCTGGAGTGCAGTGGCACAATCTCGGCTCACTGCAAGCTCCGCCTCCCAGGTTCACGCCATTCTCCTGCCTCAGCCTCCCAAGTAGCTGGGACTACAGGCGCCCGCCACCAGGCCCGGGTAATTTTTTTGTGTGTTTTTAGTAGAGACAGAGTTTCACGTGTTAGCCAGGATGGTCTCGATCTCCTGACCTTGTGATCTGCCCACCTCGGCCTCCCAAATTGCTGGGATTACAGGCGTGAGCCACCGCACCCAGCCCTTATTTAAAATTTTAGCTAATATGGAATCAAAAGTCTCCTTAATCCTTTCCTTTACGTTTTAGCCAGATTCCTCCTACACAGGCTTCTAAGGCATTTTTTCCTGTATTTCAATCTAGTCTCGTTTTACACAAATATCGGACTATGTCTAACGTGCTCTGGCACTGTACATCTCACTCCCTTGTTGGCTTTACCTACAAACTAGGCTCTTTTTTACCTTCAATAATCCTTACTCAGTAATCTTAAGTATTCTAACTATTACCGTTTTCTCCTATTGGAAATATTTTAAGAGTGGTGACATATACATTCAGTAATATTTCTAAGAATGAAGGCGTTTACATGTTTGGAGGGTTTTTGGGGTTACTTGAACTAGAGATCCAGGAATTCTAACTGTTCTGGCTGAAAGCTCCATGAGGTAGGGGCCGTTCTCCTTGATCCACCAGCACTCACCTGCCATAAATAAGCAAGCAACAAGTCCTCTTAAAGAAGCACAGGTCTACTATCAGCCAAAAACCGCAGGAGACGTTTTTCTGTTTAGAACCTTATATATTTTAGTCAAGTCATACAGTACATATATATATATATCTCAGATATCATATGTCCCTGTAGTAAACATAACATTTGCAATGAAACATATGAATATTCAAAATGTAATAAATGCCTCACCCATATCAGTTCCAGTTTTGTCAAAAATGAATATGCCATAAACTTAAGAATAATTGTGTTTTCAGTGCTTTTCAGGCTTCTGATTGCAGATAAGAAATTGTGACCTACATTTCTGAATCTGAAATACTGCCTGAATTCCACCTTGCATGCCCACTGTTTTACCAGAGATATCAATCATTTCTTCTCCATTCACATACCTTCCTCATAGAAACCCTGCCCTTCTCCCATAAAGAAAAGAATCCCATTTCTCCATCTGTAGCCACAATGAAGGGAGAGGATAGATACCTGCTGCTAACTGGACCAACCTCACTTACTTTGGACATCAGAGCCTGAGGTAATTACAGATTCTGGTTCTAAAAGGAAGACTACAGTGGGATCTGCACAAGCTAACCAACCATCTAAAGCAGCTGGAATGGGAAACAACAATAAATACAAGAAAACAAAACACACAGACCCAAAAAACTCCTACCTTTGACTCTCTCCTGACTTCTTACAGTAAATTATTTCATAATTTCCTAAGCACTTGTATGATATGCAACTAAGAAAACTTTAGAGTAGTAAACTTGCCACACAGATTAGGAGGAGAATGTACCTGTGAAGGGCTCAAAGAAAACAAACAGCCCACTGAAGAGTAAATACAGTTTAAAAAAAAAAACAGGAAAATACCCTCCCAGGTAACAAAAAGTCAAATTAAAGCAATCTCATTTAGCATTAATTAAAGAAGTACATTTTTATTTTTAAAAAACACCTCTGGCTGGGTGTGGTGGCTCACACTTGTAATCTCAGCACTTTGGGAGGCCAAGGCAGGTGGATCACCAGGGATCAGGAGTTTGAGACCAGCCTGGCCAAGATGGTGAAGCCCTGTCTCTACTAAAAATACAAAAAAATTAGCCAGGCGTGGCGGCAGGCGCCTGTAATCCC